ATCTATCTATCTATCTATCATCTATCTATCTATCATCTATCTATCTATCTATCTATCTATCTATCTATCTATCTATCTATCTATCTATCTATCATCTGTCTGTCTATCTATCAATTATCTATCTATTATCTATTTATTATCTATCTATCTATCTATCTATCTATCATCTATCTATCATCTGTCTGTCTATCAATTATCTATCTATCATCTATTTATTATCTATCTATCATCTATCTATCTATCAATCTATCTATCTATCATCTGTTTGTCTGTCTATCTATCTATCAATTATCTATCATCTATCTATCATCTATCTATCTATCTATCTATCTATCTATCTATCTATCATCTATCTGTCTGTCTATCTATCTATCATCTATCTATCTATCTATCTATCTATCTATCTATCTATCTAGATATAGATAGATTGATCCATTCTATCAGTTGTGTTCCTCTAGAGAACTCTGACTAACATAGACATCATGACCAAGACAAATTATAAAAGAAAGTGTATAGTTAGGAGCTCATAGTTCCAGAAAGTTAGAGTCCATGGCCATCTTGGTGGGGAGCAAGGTGACAGGCAGGCAGGAGCTGTAGCTGTAGCAGAGAACTCACATCTAGTACACAAACAGGAGGAGAGAGAGAGAGAGAGAGAGAGAGAGAGAGAGAGTGTGCACTAACTGGGAATGGTGTGGGTTTTTAAAAACTCAAAGCCCATCCTCAGTAACACACATCTTCCCACAAGGCCACACCTCCTAATCCTTCCCAGACAGTTCCATGGACTGGGGACCAAGTGTTCAAATATATGAGCCTGCAGGGGCCATTCGCATTCAAACCACCACCTACCCCAGCTGGGTGGCTCTATCTGCTTCAAGCTTACTAAAATGGTTGTGTCAGGCCTTGGCCTTCACTACTTCATAAGACTATGGCATAATGTATACTCCAGCTCCCTCCAAAGGTGAGCAAAGGAGAAAGAGAAAATGCCCCGGAGATGGAGCTCGTCTTCCATTATTTAATCTTGGAAGTGACACTGCATCGTGTCTGCCAAGTTTGCTATGAGAAGCAAGTCAGACTCAGGCGTAAGGGTGGGATTCCATACAAGCAAGTCCCAGGATACGAGGAGGTACCTGGAGTTAGGAGGTCAGCTCAGAGGCTCTGTTTCCAGCTTCCCTGCAGAGGCGCATGTACTCCCTGAAGTTCTGCCCACAGTAAAGACTTCCCTTCATCAGATGGGCCCTTGCGTCGACACAGCTATGTCTCCTGGTAAACAGGAAAAGCAAAAAGAGATGTTCCCTGTTCACCTGGGAGACTCTGGCAAAACCATGTGAGAGGACACATGTCCGCACAGTGCCCGGAGCATAGCGAGATCCAGGTGACCATGTAGATGAGTACACTGGGGATGGCGATGTTGACAGTGAATGGTGACCAAGTCTGCTCAGTGTCCTTCCTCTTGGACACATGCTTGCCAGTATGTAACATTGTATATGCTCTGTTTTTCCTATTGTCATGAGAACCTCCCATGCCGCGGAGACCAGAGGGATTTCTGTCTTCCTGAGTGGGTGAGAGTTCAGAACAATTCTCCACTGGTCCAGATGCCCACACAGTTCTACACATGAGTCACACCTGACTTACAGGTATGTGTGTGGTCCAAAACAGTCTCTCACAGCCAAAGCTATCATCTCATCTTCCTGGAAGTGAATGATAGGCACCCATGATGGAGACCTCTCACGGAAGATGGGCTAACCTCTTCATACAGTTGACCTTTAGCATTGACCATAGGAACTCAAGTTCAGGGTCTGGAGAACTGTGAGGAGATAAAAGAGTCTGAAATAGGGAAGGAGAAGAGGTTTGAGGAAGAAGGCTGGGCTGAAGTCTTCAAATAGGGAAGTTTATCTGTCTCACTTGTACCTCTGTCCCTCAGTGCAGTGTCCAGCTCCACATGTCCCTCTACCCTTCTTTTCTGAAACTTTGTCCACCTTACTGCAGGGGTCAAGGCAGGAGAGGGAGCAGCCAGCGGAGAAAGCAACCTCACTCCAGGGCACAGGCCACATTAGGAAAACATATGGATGACCCTTGACCTCACATAGGGTAGTTCCACGGAGGACCGTTCCATTTTATTACGAGGAGAAAAAGACACACATTCAATGGAAGTCATACTTCTAAATTAGAAGCTTGGCCTTCTCCCCGGGCTGATATGAGGTGACACTTTCTGTAGTTGAAGCTCTGGCTGTGTGCTCACAAGGGGAAGCAAACTGTAGTGTGCTGTGTTGCTGAGCTGAGCTGAGGCAGACGATTGGGGTGGTGGTGCATGCATTAAGGGCATGCTCAATTTCCCATATCTTCAGTGCACGACGATTTTATCAGTACTTCACCCTGTTGTCAGTTGAAGACTGTGTGAGCCTGGAGGCATTTGCTCCTTCATGAGAAAATCCTGGTGACTTTGATGGATTTCTGAATGTTGACATGGAGCAGAGCTCGCAAACACAGTCATTAAACTATTCTGAATGCACCGTGTGTGCCAAGCAGCTTCTGGGTGTCAGGGACACAGAGGTTGACTTTGTGTCCCTGGGTCCCTGCAGAAAGAGAAGCCAGCTGATGCCGGAAGAGTCTTCCCAGAGTCTGTTCTGACACTATCCTGGTCCTTACCTTAGGCTCCCACAACCTCCCTCAGTTTGTTAGAGCAGGGCAGAGGCTGTGGGGCAGCCTTGACTGTGTCTGTGAGTTAGGATGATGCTTTGTCTTCGAGAGCCAGACTGAGCGTTCCCACTCCATAGTTTTGCTCTTTCTTTGGGGACCTGAGACCGCTGAGGTAGTAGCCTGCCTCTCTGGGTTAAAGCCAGAGTGTTTCTGCATGAAGGAACTTCTAAATTAACAGGGCTACTTGGCCAGCTCTTAGCTGGTCTATGGAGCCATCAGGCATCTGAATGACGTCTTTCTGTGTCTGCTGTCGTTCTGAATTTTTCTCAGTGGACAAAGAGAGGGATGTTCTTAAAGTCCTTCTGAGATGCTTCTGTGTGATGAAGATTGGGCATGAGGACTGCTGAGGGCCATCTGAACCCCATTGTGAAAGTAGACTGGGTACCGGGCACTAAGGGACTCAAAAGGCATGCTTCAATGTAACATGTTTAGTGTTATATGTAATGAAGGAAATAGAGTTGGATGCAGTTGTTTATATAAGGTGGACTCATCTATGTAAACAGAGGAGGAGGAGAAGGAAGAAGAGAAAGGAAAAGATAAGGGGCCTGGAAGAAGGTTCAGTGGACAGAGTCACATGCCACTGAGCCTGATGGTCTGGGTCTCACAAGAGAGAACCAACTTTTTCAGGTCATTCGCATACCCCCTGACCCCGATAAAATACACCAGAGATGAATTTCTTCCTTTGTATACTAAGAAATATCTTGGCTAAAAATATACTTTGCAATTGTATTTCAGACACAACTGCACAGAGGGACACAGGGACAGGTGGGGTCTTCCTTAACCATCTCATCATTCCAGAAACTCCTGTGGCCAGGGACGTGTCCTGAACTTGGCAAGGTTCTCCATATTTTCTGGTAAGAAAAGGTGAGGTTGCTTTTGCTAGACACTGGTGGTCCCCTGGCCAGTTCTGTAGGGAATGAGGGCCCTGGCCAAACATTAAAAACTGATGGGGCTTAGAGGAGGAAAGGGTTTATTTGGCTTACACTTGTAGGTCACAGTCTATGTGACTGAGGGAAGTTATGGTAAGAACTCAGGGCTGGAACCTGAAGCAGAGTCAGTGGAGGAATGTCACTTGCAGGCTTGTGCTCTGGTTTGCTTATAGGCACGTGCTTAGTTTAGATTTCTTATATAGCCTAGGACCACCTGCCTAGGGACTGAGTTGCCCACAGTGGCCAGTCTCCTACCAATGTGCCCATAGGTCAATATGATGTAGGTAATTTCTCAATCAAGGTTTCCCTCTCACATAACTCTGGGCTGTGTGACCGAGAGTTAATGTTAACTAGGACAGAGTCCACAGAATCAACTACCTTCATTGTCCTTCACCAGTTATGGAAACTGCAATTACAAGGCCCAGATACAAATAGTTTAATCCTTTGTGTAAAAGAAATCCAAAAGATGGATTGTGATGGATTCTCTGACCAGCTATCCACTTTTACTAATCCAGTTCTTGCCAGCTCATACCCTGCACTTCCTTGCTCATGGCCTACCCCAAATGCTAGGGAGATAGCCTATCTCCTGTTCAGAAAGAATCATTCTATGTCTAGCCAAAAGTCAAGGGCTTGATCAGTAAGGCCAAGGAGGAAAGCTGTGGGGTAAAGTTGCTGTCATAGTTTGGGCAATGCTTGGTGGGCTGTCTCTGGCTTCTAGGTGGAGGCTAGCATTTGAGATCATTCCTGACAGATAATCCCAGAATAATATCAAATAGTGACCCCACACACCCGAGAACCCTGAAGACTGGAGGTAAGTATGAGAATGACACTATTATTCCAAGATGAGCAGGCTGATGCTCAGAGGGGCCATGTTCTCCCCCAAATCCATTAGAACAGTCAGAGGAAGTTCCCCCTTTAGATTATCCCTCTCTGGGGCCTTCCTACCCTTCATTCTCTGGGGTCCTGGCTTGTGCACAGGGAGTCCCTTCCCATTGGGCAGCTGCTGACAATGCAGGATTGGGCATGTTATCTATGCATAGTTTTTCTAGCTCATTTTCCATTTCTGAAAGGTCTGGGGCCCTCCTGTTGAAGAGGGAAATGATTTTAGAACTTGAAGTGAAATTCACACAAAAAATTAACCGCTACAAATGGACAATGTAGTGGAACTTAGAACAACAATCCCACTGTGCACAAACACTTCTGTCCATCTCAGAAATATTGTCAAAAGGAAACCCCAGGTCCATCAAACCCCCACACCTCCCATTTCTTCCTCCCAGCACCACAAACTCCTTCTTATTTGCATTAGGGTCTATTCTGGATATCTCATGTAAATGAAGTCATACACGGCATGTCCTTTTGTGTCTGGCTTCTGTCACCTAGCATGAGGTTCTTCCAGGTTCTTTCAAACTGACACAAATATGGAAACACCGTTCCTTTTTTTGTGGCTGGGTAATATTCTATTGTATGGCTGAAGTGTTTCAGTTCGAGGTCTTTTTGGTAATTCATTTCTAACAGAATGGAGCCAGTTCCTTAGCTGTGTGTTTCCAGTCAGCTCTACATGGTCACAATCCCACCTGACTTTCACATGACATAAGCCAAGACTTCCTCCATCCATTCTTTTCTTTCTCCTTGGAAGCTGCCAGCACTTGAGCCCATAGCCTTGCCCAAGCTAGGCACCTCCTGTGGAGCTACGTCTCAGCCTTTTTGTGTTTTGCAACAAGGGTCTCTTTTATTTTGCAACAAGGTCTCTTTAGTTGCCAGGGTTGGCCTTGGACTCACTCTGTAGCCCAGGCAGGCATTGAACTTGATCCCTCCGCCTCAGCCTCCAACATAGTTGGAATTGTAGGCCTATTCACCAGGACTCAGTTTCCTCTGTTCTGACCTCTTACGTTATTGGTGTAGATCTGAGTCTACATTGCACCTGCTAAGGTTTCCAGGTTCATGTATCCCAACACAGAGAACTGGGCCAGGGACACACAAATAGTGACAGCCTTAGAGACAGTTATTAAAAGACAGAATGACACTCCAGAAATTGGTAGTGGGCAACAGAGGCAGGACGGGTAGGGGATGCAAAAGGCCCCAGACTCCAGCTTCATGACCCTTAATAAGGCTACTGTGTGGTACTGCCTCCTTCCAGAGTGCCTGACTTTTCTTACACATGCTGTTTTGTTACATGTAGCTCTCAACCCAAGGAGTTTCCTGCCTTGCCAGAGTCCTATTGCTGTGAAGAGACACCATGACTACAGTAACTCTTATAAAAGAAAACATTTACTGGCAGTTTCAGAGATTTAGTCCATTATCATGGTGGCCAGCAGGTGCTGAAGAAGTAGCTGAGAATTCTACATCCATGAGGAAGAAGAGAGAGACACTGGGCCTGGCTTGGGTTTTGAAACCTCAAAGCCCACTCCCTCCACCCCCATGATACACTTCCTCCATCAAGACCACACCCCCTCCAACAAGACCACACCCTCTCCAACAAGACCACACCCTCTTCAACAAGACCACACCCTCTCCAACAAGACCACACCCCCTCCAACAAGACCACACCATCTCCAACAAGACCACACCCTCTCCAACAAGACCACACCCTCTCCAACAAAGCCACACCTCCTAGTCCTTTCAAGCAGTGCCACTCCCTGGTGACCAAGCATTCAAATCTATGAGCCCATGGGGGGCATTATTCCAACCACCACATGCTCTCACAACAGGTAATCCTGATGCCTTTCTCCACCCACTCCAGCTTCGCTTACCTCTTGATTTCTTTTCTAGAACAAGAAGGGGGCCAGGCCTCTTCCCTAATGTTTTTTTGTTTTTTAAAAAAAAGTGTATGTGTGTATGTCAGGGTGGTGGTGGGTGGGGCGGTGGTGGTGGTGGTGGTGGTGGTGGTGGTGGTGGTGGTGGTGGTGGTGGTGCATGCTATGGTTCATGTAGAGGTCAGAGGACAACTTCCAGGAGTCAGTTCTCCACTTCCACCCTGTGGGTCCTGAGGATGGAACTCATCACATTTAGCAGCAAGGGCCTTTACCCACGGAGCCTTCTCGCACCAGCCTTCCCTCCATCTCTTTCTGCATCACACAGGGCTTTGGCTGCTCTGAGACTAGCCTAGTTGACTTTTAGCAAGGCCCTGACTTCCCTCCCTTATGGTAATGATTGCATGGACTTCTGAACAACATTCACAGCAAAGCAGCGCAGAATTCTTGCCCCACCTGGAAGACAAACAAGCTGTCAGTTCAGTATGTCACACCCTGTACCAAAGAGCTGCCACAGAATGAAAGAAAAGAATGCGTCAGAGATGAGGACACACAGGTAACTACCCTCCCTGAGCCAACAGCCCAAAATGTGGCCCTACTGTGTACCAGGCATCATGAATGAGCCCTGGAGGGGAGAGCTGCCCCCCAGAGATGGTGGAGGC